ACTGTATATGTAGGTGTTTACGGATAGGATTAACTGTTTATATTCACTTATTTGTGTGTTTTTTCAAGTGGTGGGTATTTAATTAATATATAAATATTAGAAAGGCTGAACTTGATGGACCCAAGTCTCTTTTCATCTATGTAACTATGTAATATGTAATTTACTATGTTTTATTTCTAATGTATGTTTTGTTATAATCAACTTGGTTTTAGGTCATGATTTTTTTAAATTATATTGCCTACTATTTATATGGTAGCAGGATATTACAATCAGTATTTGAGCTGCTAGTCCTTTCCATTGCCCAATTTTAAAATTTTGCCCTATTTTGAAAATGGTACCCGGAGTATTTCCTGGGTCTTGTATTGTAACGGGAATAAAGAAGCGATGTATGGAAATGACATATTGGAATACCTAGCAGAAGTGACATATGGGGACCAGGAAATCAGGAATTGAAGATCAGAACACAGCAAGTAGGAACTTGACCATAAATCGTGTAAAAGTAGCAACTCAAATATCTTTTTTTTTTTTTTTTTTGAATTATAATATAAGACATCGAGGTTGTCAAGGAATGCTGCATTTTTTTTTTTCTTCTAAGGAATAGGAAAACAAGAAAGATTGGCAAAACTGTCTAGGCACAGAGGACAAACAATAGAGTCTAACACATAATACATACAAGACTATTATATGCATTGGGTAACAGTCTAGATTAGGTAATAGTGGATTAACTTGTATATAAAAAACATCTAGCATAACAGGCTAGATGTTCCAGAGGATAAAACCACCGGAACCCAACTCCCCATCATACCACCGTACTGCACAAAGCAAAGGAAAAACAACAAAAAATAAGATCTTTACAAACAGCAGTATATAAGGGCAAAAAGAGCATATAATTGTGAGGTGACTAGTATCACATGGACACCCGTGTTGAACAGGCTATATGCCTAGGATAGTAAGTCCAGTTTCAGCCAATGCTCAGATTTGGGAATGTGTGATGATTGCCATACAATGCGGCAAGACGGGAGCAAATTTGGGTATCTCTCCAGCCCCAGGTATGACCACGGGCTCGGATGCTTGCAGAGTCTGAATCCTTCCCTGTTGGGAAAGGGCCAAAGCGCCTGGTGTCCTGCCGCTCCCAGATCTTCAGCTGTAACATTTTAAAGGAAACTGTAGTCACCAGAACCACTACAGCTTAATGTAGATGTTCTAGTCTCTATTGCATGTCCCTGCAGGCTTTTCACTGTAAACGTTGTCTTTCAGAGAACATCTCCACGTTCTGCATGGAGATGCTAAATAAGCTCCATAGAGCTGCATAGATTCAATGCATCTTTATGAAGAGATACTGATTGGCGCAGCACGGAGTTTTGCCATTTGGTCTCAAAGGCAACATAGGCCCTGCGAACCACCATGGCCCATCTCCTAGGCTGACATTATCAGTGTAATTATCTCAGCCAATCACAATGCTTTCCCACAGGAAAGCATTGAATTGGCTGAGATTGTCAATTCAGATGATCTCAGCCAATGAGATGGGCCAGCTGCGGAGCCAAATTGTCTGATAGTAGCCTTGCTGCTGGTATCCAATTAAAACCACTCCCAAGCCTATATTCATAGAAATAATACTGAATAAAAATAAAAATTTTGCTGATGTCATCATCTCATACTGATTATTACATTACATTACTTTGATATACATTGAGGTTTTTTTTTTTTTTTTTATTCTTTATTTTGTTCGTGCAGGTATTGTACATGTAGATTTGCACTGCCACAACAGCTGGTGCAAACAATTTTGAATTCACATGGTAACAATAGTATGGCATCAGAAACATTGCACTTTTGTTTTTATATAGGGAAAGTCACAAGATTATTTTGTACGCTTTAAGTTTAATTGTTGATATGTCATAGTTGTTGCACTTTGTTAAAGGAAGGAAAAAAAACAAAAACATAAAATTAAAGGAAAAGCAGGAAGTCAAATCGAGCCAAGCGGTGTAGTTTGGGCGGCTGTCAGCTTATGTTTAGTCATGAGGAATAGGTGCACCTGTTTACTTAAGTGGTAGGGACATGGAAATGTCCTTTAGTAAACCCCCTTGCTGTTAGATCTAACTTGTCATCTGCTTGATAATAAGGGGCCTTTGCTTCTATATAGTGTGTCCAAAGAGACATCCCTTGCCACATCATGACTTTATGGAGCACACGTTAAGTACAGGTTATAGATTGGGGAGACGAGGTGTGACATGCGACCGGGCTACAGCCATGTATACATTGCAGGTAAACTTCCCTATGCCTGTTATAGAGTAGAACAGCCCAATGGTCGCTGACAGTCGGTAGTGCTTGACCACGTGTAGCTATAAGCCCACGGCTTAATTTCTAGCCCATTATTAGCATATAAACTTACTATGCAGTGCCCAGTATAGAGAAAAGGAGAGATAATAATAATAATAAATAAAAATGTGTGTGTGTATATATATATATATATATATATAAATATATATGAGACAGTGTAAATTATTAGAAGGAAGCATTATAATAGGATGAACTGGAGCTAAGTTGTGCCACTGTAGTCTCTCAAGGCAGGCCACGCAGCCCTCCAGGCCCAGCTCTCCGTGAGTGCTGCGGATGGCATACAGACAGTCCCGCTGGATCACATTGACTTTTTCCTGTCTCTCCTCGTGTCCGACCTGTGAAAGGTGGGGAGATTGTCAGTCCCGTGTTCAATGTTTTCGCATATTGCCTTTGCCTCCGGTTCCACTGCCAGGAATGGTCGGTAACGGGATTCCAGGATAAAGTGTTGTCAGGCTCTGGTTCGCGGATCGTCGTCAAGGTGCTCTAGGCCCAGGTGGGCAGTTGCTGGAACCGGACTGAAGTGCCATGTACGGGGGCCGGTCAGCCGAGGCATCTCTGCCGCTTAGCAGGTTGGAGTAGCCACAATAGTCCAGGGTGTAAGAGTTGGGCGGTATAATCCAGTAAGCCACATGAGTGCTGGTAGCGCGGTCGGGCCCAGCGTATGCCACGCGGCCGCCATCTTGTTGGTCGGGCGCCGAGGTCCGTTAACCGAGCATCGAGGCTCACTCATGTCGGCTTCCTCCAGTGGGGACTGGGATAACCCCCACCGGTCCATGGGGGGGGACTGGGGCCTGTGAGGGGTATTACACAGCTGCCAGGTGATTTGTCAGGCGTGTAAACAGGGCAGCGGCCATCTGCCTCGCTCCTCTCCCAAGTAGGCCGCATTCTCCAAAGTCTTGTACCACCTATAGGGCCCCCAAAACTACCGATCTTGGAGTCCACGGTGTTACCAACGGCTTCTTGCACCCTTGGGTACCTTGTACAGCCGAATTATTCGCAGTGAGTCTATAGGTTTTGCTGAAAAACGCCAAGCACAACAGGAGCATCTGCAGCATGCAACCGGTCATCATGGCTGCCAGACCCCGCCCCGATATACATTGTATTTTTATGCTACGTTTAGTTTGTTTTCCCAGCTGCAAACTTCTGTACTAATTTATTTATTATTTGTGTTTGTTTAGTGTTCCAGTTTTCTTTTGTGACACAAGTTTAAATTTTGAATCCTATAATTTGTTGCCGATGTGAGATTGGGAAGTGGGGCCTCCATGAATCAGATTTTTGATCCAGCATATCCTGCAGATGCTCAATCAGATTGAGATTTGGGGAATTTGGAGTCAACGGCAACACCTTTAGCTCTTTGTCATGTTCCTCAAACTATTCCTGAACATTATTTTCAGTGTGGCAGGGTGCATTACCCTGCTGAAAGAGACCACTGTCACCAGGGAACACACTTGCCATGAAGGGGTATACGTGGTCTGCAGAGCAGTCTTCGGTTGGTGGTATGTGTCAAAGGAACATCCACATGAATGCCAGGACCCAAGGTTTCCCAGCAGAACATTTCCAAGAACATAACACTGCCTCCACCAGCTTGCATTCTTCCCATAGTACATCCTGCTGCCATCTCTTCCCAAGGTAAAGAATGCGCACACACACCTGGCCACCCACCTGATCTACAAGAAAATGTGATTCATCAACCAGGCAACCTTCTTCCGTTGCTTCATGGTCCAGTTCTGACACTGATGTCCACATTGGAGGTGCTTTCGGCAGATCATCATTGTCACCCATAAAGCAGCAAACTGTGATGCACTGTATTTTTACACTTTTCTATCATGGCCAGCATTACATTTCTCAGCAATTTGAGCTACAGTGATTGGACCAGATGAGCTAGCCATTGCTCCCTATGTGCATCAGAGAGCGTTGGGCACCCATTACCCTGACGCCAGTTCACAGTTTGTCCTTCCTAGCTCTACTTTTGGTCAGTACTAACCACTACATACCGGGAACACCCCACAAGGCTTGCCATTTTGGAGATGCTTTGACCTAGTTGCCTAGGCATCACTATTTGTCCCTTTCCAAAGCCACTCAGATATTTTCACTTGCACCTTTTTCCTGCTTGCAACACATGAAATTCAAGAAGTGACTGTTCAATTTCTGCCTTATATATCTCACCCATTGACAGGTGCAATATAATCAATGAAATTCACTTTACCTGTCAGTGGTTCTAACATGTAGCTGATCAGTGTATAAGCCAATTTCATCAACGAATGTGAGTGATGGGTACTTTCCAGATCAAATCATTTCCAGTGATGCAAAGTTGTTATGGTGCTTAGACTGCTCTATTATGTATAGCATGGAAAGAATACTGTATTTTTGTAAATGATGAGTTACTTCTATAAAATATTTATTTAGAATTTTTTTTAAAAGTTATCTTTGAATAGCAAACAACACATACAGTTGCTGTTTTTTCACTTAATTTCACGTGTTACCTGTTTATCTTGGGTTTCAAATAAATGTACAAATTTGTTTTCCTGAAAAAAATACATTATTAGTATCGGTTTATAGACTAGAGTTCTGCATGTTTTACTTGCTGTTGTGGAAACAATTTTGGAACATTTAAAAAAAGAAATTGATCAGTTTTGTTAAATAAAATATATTTTTTAAAATGCAGCATTTATAACTCCACTTAAGTCTATTATAAATATATAATGAGACAAGGAATATAAAGGAAACAACACACCACTATGAACAAATATTATTGGCCTCTTTTATTAAGACATTCACAATGGATGTTACATTATACACTGTCATGTTTTAAACTCTACTTCTATGCACTATGGTCACATTTTAAAAATATTAAATCCTACATAATATAGGATAACCTGTATTATAAAAAATAATCCCAAATGTGGCGTTCTAGAGACATTAAGCTTTTTATGGATGTCTATATTTTGAATGGCACTATTTTCTTATAATACATGCTTAAACATTATACATCTTTTATATGTTGCATCATATTCTTTTTCTTGAAAAAAAAATAAAAATCTATTTTACAGAAACTGGAGTGACATATTGTCTATTCTGTGCCGTTTTAGCGGCCGTAGAAAAGAACAAACATACTCAAACACAGAAAAACTTACATACGACTGCACAAACACTTTGAAATTGCAATGTATTTATCTGCTGTGACACAGAATTTACTTTAAAAAAAGGCATTTGCCATTTGAATAAATATTCACCTTGTTGCTTTAAAGCCCCACTTATCTTCAGAAGTCATGGGATTAGTTGAAAGGACTGCACTTGTGTTCAATTAACTTGTCACTAAAACCTATTCACATGTTTCTTGAAGGTTCAACTGTTTGTTAGAGAGCATATCCAGACAAACAGCATAATGATTGATGACAAAGAACTATCAACAAGACTGGAATAAAGTTCTGGAGAAGCAACAGTCAAGCTTTGAAATTTAAAAAGATATCCAATATTTTGAACACTCAGTAGTCCGGTAAAGAGGGCATTCGTCAAATAAGCAAACAAGAGGCCAATGACAATTCTGAAGAAGCCCAAGAGACCTACAAGATCAACAAGGTAGAGGACATCATCAATGGGACAACTGTGAGGCATCACAAAGCTAGACTTCATAAACAGGTGATTAGATGAAGCAATTTCAATGGGAAAAAACCCATATGAGAGTCCAAGTTAAAGTATGCCACTTGGCATGTAAGAAACACAGCACATGTAGAATTTGTTTTCTTATTTGATGAGAACAGAACTAAATTCAATGCGTTATGTATACAAATCCCAATAAACCCATTTTAATTCCAGCTTTTAACAACACAATATGTGGAAATGTCCAACAGGGTGAATACTTATGAAATGTGCTGTACAGTGAATACATAATGGTGATATAATTCATTCCATTAGATTATTTTGTGCATTTTAATAAAAAAAAATATATATTATTGAATTCTGAAGTACAACAGCCAAAATATCACTTCAACTCCCATGGATAACATGCACACATATCCACATATAAGACATTTACGCATCCATTCGCAACAAAAAAGCACTTCCTTCTTAGTGCAGTATATTAGTGCTATAAAATATATCTAATTTTTGTTATAATACATACATAATAACTTTGTAACTGAGAGAGGCTGAAAATGTGAAAAAAATAAATTCATTAATAAAGCAGGCTCAAAATGTCTATTGAAGTCCACAACATCATAGAGAGTTCAACGGAGATGTTTTTGCAGGAATGTTTATATTTAGTCTTAAAATAAACAGGATGTAGTACTTTCATTCTGAAATTACAACTTCTCCTTTCAGAGATCTGTGGGACAATAAAAAGGAAGGAAGATTAATAATTTATTTTTCTTATTGAAGGAAAATCCAACATAAATTGACTTTTCTGCTAACCCTGTTCACGTGTAATTAAACAATTATGGAATGCAGACTGGCACAAGTTTGGGATAATCTTGGACAATAGCATGTTCCTGTCTAGTATAAAGTGACCTCCAGACCATAGGCTACTTGGAATGCACTTAGACAAGGCTGGGACCCTGTCTCTCTATTCTTGCAGCCTGGACCCTGTCTCTCTATTGTTACAACCTGGACCCTGTCTCTCTATTGTTACAACCTGGACCCTGTCTCTCTATTCTTACAACCTGGACCCTGTCTCTCTATTCTGACAACCTGAACCCTGTCTCTCTATTCTGACAACCTGGACCATGTCTCTCTATTCTTACAACATGGACCATGTCTCTCTACTCTTACAACCTGGACCATGTCTCTCTACTCTTGGCAACCTGGACCCTGTTTCTCTATCCTTGGCAACCTGGACCCTGTCTCTCTATGCTTGGCAACCTGGACCCTGTTTCTCTATCCTTGGCAACCTGGACCCTGTCTCTCTATTCTTGGCAACCTGGACCCTGTTTCTCTATCCTTGGCAACCTTGACACCGTCTCTCTATTCTTGTAGCTGGAATAACCTAGGGACCTGCTTTGAACTTTACTACCTACAGGTTCCTCAATCAATAGAGTCACCCACTGCATTCACTAAGTGGGTATAATACATTTTCCCTTTGGGACTTTTATGCACCTTGGACTTATTGGCTGCTATTGGTGCTTTATATTTTGTAGTTACTAGTGAACTCCACCATTGTTGGTTGATGCTTGCTACTGCTGTATTTGCTGCTGCTATTCTGCTACCTCAAAGTTAATATTCTGCTGTGTATGATATATGTATTATGTGTGTTTTATAGATTTTATGTTAATAAATAGTATATCTATTTTTTATTATCCTTTTATACTTTTCTTTTATTACTAATACTCTAGAGCAGTGGTTCCAAACCCAATTCTCAAGTACCCCCTACCAGTCCAGATTTAGAGATTACCCAGTTGTGTCTAAGGACTTTATAGAAGGATAATCCCTAAATCCTGGACTGGAAGGGGGTACTTGAGGATTTGGTTGTGTAACGTTCACTAGGGAACCCTAACACCCAGACAGAATAGAGTAAAGAGAATTGCAATACCGATCCTTAGAATGGTTGGGTTATGCAAAAAGGGGATAGTCAAAACACGAGCCAAGGTCAACAGAAACAGAGATGGAATAACGAGAGTCAAAGCCAAATATCAGTAACCAGGAAATCCAAATAAGTGCAACGCTCAATGGTAAACCAAAGACCACAACAGGGCACTGAGGCAAGGGAGAGGTTTGCTTATATACACACAGGGTGTGTCTGATTGGCTAAGCTCCAATTAGTGTTAACCACAACACGTGGTAGGAGTTTCTTCCCTCCCTTGTGGTCTTTGAGGTCATCACTGTGTACCGGGTCACATGACCGGGTGCATCACACATATAAGGATACTGCTCTGAAACATGCAACGTCAGACACCATGCCAGTCTGGAGACAGGGACCAGATGACACAGCTTGCGGTGACGAGGTAAGCAAGGTTGCCGCGAGTGGCGTGGGGGCAGGGGACTTGACAGGTTGGGAACCAGTGCTCTAGAGGATATACTTTATATATCTAGTTAAGTAGACCTATCCATTCACTTATTGGATTTTTATTTACTCAGATTTATTGTTTTTTAGTATTATTGCCTCCTCTTTTTTTCTCCCTTTTCCCTTCTTTTTTTCTTTCCTTTCTTTTCTTGTTTTTTTGTTGTTTTTGTTTCCTCTGTATGTAGCCTTACTCTAATATTAAGGCTGGGACACTGTCTAATGTGACCTGATAATCAAAATCTATTGTGGTTATAATGAAGCTATAAGTTACAACAAGGGACTTTTTGAAGGATTGAATCCAGTTATACAGAAGTTGTAGTGTTTTGCATATGGCAAGCTTCCCTGAATTTAATTCAGGAAGTATAACTTCAGAAGCAATACTTTGGCACATACTGTGACATAATAAAGTTTTATTAATATCCAAATTCCATACTTTGCAAGGATCTTTCTCTGACTAGCACTCTGGTCTATCCCCTTACCCTAAGCCAGGGGTTCCCAACCCAGTCCTCAAGTACCCCCTTCCAGTCCAAGATTCAGGGATTACCCAGTTGTATCTAAGGTGTTTTTAGAAAAAAAACAAAAAACATTTTAGACACAACAGGGTAATCCCCTAAATCCTGGACTGGTAGGGGTTACATGAGGACTGGGTTGGGAACCGCTGCCCTAAGGCTTATAGGATACGTAGAACATACATTTTGTGAGCTTTAAGATTGCTGTTTAGTGAATGAGTGAGTGCGCAGGACCTTGCAGCAGCACCCTTATACTGTATGCATGTTCAGGTGAGTACAACACTCTTGGTTTCATTTATATGTTTGGGAGTCCAGGCCATGAAGGGGAACCAACTCTGTGAGCCTTGAAGTTGCTGTTTAGTGAATGGGTTCGCTAGATCTTGTATGCTCCACTGGAGTAAAGTCTGAACAGGATGTCAGGGCTCCATAAGTTCTTGGAGACAATTGCAGACTTTGGAGTTACGTGCCAATCAACTTTACAAAAGCCTTTTTATGTTTTTAGAGTAGTAAGCAGCTGCAGGCAAGGAGGAAGATTCTTGCTGATTCTTAGCATGTTTAATTAGGTTAAAACGCACTGGGGTAAGGTTCAAGTAAAATTGTGTTTCTTATTTTGAGAAAAAACACACTTTTCCTATAAGATGCCAGAAAGAGACTTAAACCAAAACACTCATTACCTTTGAAAAGCATGTAGTGTAAAACTGCTTTAATAATAACTAGGCTAGAATGTGACACACACAACACCCTTCTGAGAAGCCTTCAGCTAAGATATAAAAAATAGTGTGTAAGAGTAATCCAATGATAATATGTGACGTTGTATGTACAGGAAATGCCAAAACAGGTGATGACACCACTCTGAAATGACCATGGAAACGTTAACTAAGCCTACAGACAAGCACAGCTAGAAGGTGAAAATCAGGAATAGCTACCAAACAAGCCCTTCTGATTGCTTGTCTATAGGGTTCATAGGGTAAAGTGAACTAAAGGCAAAAGCCACTGAGATTACACAAAGGACCAAATGTCCACTTTGCGTGTTACCCAGGATTCTCAGAAAAGTCACATTCTGCATCTCACTGGAAGAGAAGTGAACTCATGCAGAGGTCTAAGTCTTCATGTGAACCTGGAGACAACTGCAGTTTAGGCTTCTGTTTTCGCACATGCCAGGTAGAGAAGCCAGGGCTCCAATACCTATATTGTTGGTATTTCCAGTTTTTAAAACTACTAAAATAACCCAGAGTCATGGGACCAGTAAACACTCTGAATTGTTGTAAATTCTTCTGGAGGAAAAATACTTACACCATAGGTAACTATTAAGATAACTGAATCAAAACCCGACCCAAAACCAAAATGACCTTGAAGTACAATCGCAGCAAATGTATATTAGACTCCAGTTCAGTGACCAGGATTTGAACCCCAGAACTTAATAGGCAAGTAATACTAAGGTAGAGACTTTGGCTAAAATGTAGACTAAAGCCAAAAAAAAAAAAAGCATACAAAATTGTTACCTGTGCACTATCCAAAATCCCTATATCCATTTACATAACTGGAGGTTTTTTAGTATCCCTCCAATGGCCATTAAACTATAAGCTCACCTGCCACGTCAAAGCAAACCTCTTAGGTGAGTCCTACACTAACAATTCACCTAGCTTATTTCAGCTAAAACACAAAATCTGTCATTAATACACACTTATTGACCTTTAGCAGGGTACACACTTATTACCCTTATTAACCCTTAGCAGGGTACACATGGGGTGGGCAGTAGCACTCTAGCATGCCCACTCCATGTGTACCCTATTAAGGGTAATAAGTGTGTATTGTAGCCCCATGTAGCCAAAGCACAGCTAAGCGAAAAAGGGCCTTGACAGGGGTTAGGAGGCGGGCATAGGAGGAGGGAAGGAAGTATGGAGTTATGGGTAAGTAGGCTGGGCTATTTAAATAGGCAGCCATTTTAACTGAGCTCACTTCTAATTTCCTACCTGACCAAGTTTGTCCCGCCCACCCTCCCTATAGATATTGTTTATGGTTAGGGGATATCCCGTTTTTTCACAGCGGCGGGATAGGGAGCTGAAGGAGAAGGAATAGGCTCCCTAGGATGAACGTGACAGATATGGAAAACTGTGGTCATTGGTGGTTGGTAGGTTTCGAGTCCTGTCGGTGGCTCAGAACCTGGTGGGGTAGGGGTATCCAGGTATACCCCTGCCATGGTTAAATTTATGTTGGCACTTTAAGTTGGTATGTTGGAATAATGTTGGTATATGTTATATATATGTGTTATTTAAATGGGGGTCATTGCCTTTTATATTAACAGAAGGAATCGGATGCGAGGGCGGAGTATGGGGGGCAATGACCCATGTTTATTTGTTAAATTATTACTATTATTATGTTATGTTGAATATGTGGTTATTATTATTCAGATTGTTTAATAAAGCTGTGGACAAATTTTCCCATATACCCGAGTGTCAGTGCATTATTGGGTTAGGTATGTGGGAGGGTTGTCCTGGAGTCCGACTGCCCATATGGCGACTATACACCGGTCATGTGTGTATTTTATTTTACTTCACTGCAAAAACTGAAATACTAATACAGCATGTCAAAATAAATTGTTTCAGCAGGTTAAGCTTGTGAGAACTCACCATCAAGAACTTTATCCAGATCAGCAATGAAATCTTCTAGCTCTCTTGTGTCACCAAGCTTTGCTGCAAATTACAAAACATTACAAAAATTACAAAACAACAATTGCAAAAAACAAACAAAAAAAATACAGATCTGTTCACACATATTTTCTTTAACCCCTTAAGGACCAAATTTTCTGGAATAAAAGGGAATCATGACATGTCACACATGTCATGTGTCCTTAAGGGGTTAAACCAGCAGATGGGATTATATTTATTCATTGCACAAGTTGCATCCATCCACAATGACAACAGTAGGGGTCCACATACTAAACAGAGGGTCGAGAACACTTGAAAACACTTTTTAAAAGAATAATACCCTACTAAGCATTATTCTTTAGGTCTCCCCCTCACTATCTATACAAAACCAATTTTAAAAAGTTTTACGTGCCTTAATCCAGTGCCGGGCGAAGCTTGGTCCAATTGGACTATTTAGCTGGCTCAGAGCGTATGTGTGTACTCTAACCTGGCAAAGGGATGGGCAGGAGAAACATAAAATATGCCCAAAATTGACATTAGGCACTCATGAACAGTTCTTGGTTGCCTAAGTCACGTCTACCGCTTCCTGGCACAAACATGCAACGTTGGATTAACCCTTTAATATAAACTGCATAGGGAATTCTAACTATAAGCAAAAAAAGTTATTAAAATGAAATTTAACAAGATAAATTATTCAGATTACTTATTATTTAAAGGAAAGGAGGAACTACATCAGCAAGCAGAAACTGTCTACAAAATCAAGAACTAAGCACTAAATAAAGTGTCACATGCCTTCATTACAACATTAAGCATGACAGTTAAAAATAGCACTCTTTATAAATTAAGTATGTGAATCTTTGTTGTGGTCTAAACAGAAATTATGGGGAAATCCAATAAAATGGATTCCCCTTAGCTTGGGAAATTGGCCAAACTCACTCTCTACTCCTGCTCTGATAGTTAATGACCGTTAGGGACTAGTTATTTCCTTTACAATTCACATCAGTGATATTTTCACCTCTTCTACTCTGTCTATAAACAGCCTAATCTCCATACTTTCACTAATACTAACTTATATAGTAAAATCGCCATGTCTTAATCTATTTTAACTAAAAATATAATAATTCAGAAATATCAGTTGCAGTCATCTCCTCAAATCCAATAAGTCCTTGGGACCTAATGGTTTCCAAATCTCTTTTTTTTCATGTATTCTCTTTCCTGCTATGGCTCTACAATAATATTCTCAAAGAGGACAACTTTCCAAATGCTCACTTATAGGCTTATATTACATTAATACCCCAAACAGTGAAAGATACAGCTATACTTGCCAAACATAGGTCAATATACTTACTAAAGTAAAAATTCTAAATTTGTGAGATGTTGCTTAACTGATTCAACCTTCTTTTAGATTACCTGATGCATCCAAATCTAGTAGATCCTCCCACATGCCCTACTGAGAAACCTTTACTTTATATTTAATCGTAATTAAATATTTATTTGGCAATATATGAAATAAAGAAAGTTAATATAAAAAATAACACTGTCATGACACATTGCAATGGAGTGTATGGACCTATTAACTGAGAGGTTAAGCAACTGGGCCTGAGTCAAAAGAATATTTGTGAAGACAGTGTCATAAGATGTCTTGGCAGACGGTAGAATGTAAGACATTAACCTAAAGAATTGTTGTGGAAGTCCTAGATGGCAGCAGAAATGGGATGAATAACATATGGAACAAACAGTAGAACAAGCTGAATTCCAAGCCGGTGATTATAAACCCTTGTTCTTGTTATCCCCCTCCATTTTTTGCTCTGTTCTGTTTAAAATATCTGATAATCAAATTAACCCCTTAAGGACACATGACATGTCTGACATGTCATGATTCCCTTTTATTCCAGAAGTTTGGTCCTTAAGGGGTTAAAGACAAATGGATAATGTGTACTGCAAAACTTGGGACGCCTGGGGACCTTGAGGAAGTGGGCTTACAGATACTAATAAGACCTATTCCATTTTTTCTCTCTTTTGGTTTCAGTCCTGGTCTACATTTATTAATATTATCTATATCGATCATTTGTCAAATTATCTTGCTATATTTATTATAACTCTGATTGTATGGAACTTTCAGTGCTTTGCCATTAAGAATAAATCATTTTAAAAATAGCACTCAACTAATGTAAAAGATAGATAAAGACATAAAGAGGCCTGAAGATTTTTTTATTTTTTTTATGGTCATTTAGCATAAATGTTATTCAGTAGTAGTATACCGTTGGTTTGGTGTTTTGAACTGGTTATTGAGTGATTTAGGCTTTCTTCACTGGCACTTAAGCTGCCCACCACTGAAGAGCTTCCACCTAATAGGAACAAAACGTAATTAGTATGTAGAATGCCCTGGCAAATTAGTTAAATACATATCCAAATATTAAACATATTCAGGAAAAAAATCTACTCTTTGGACTTCGGAGTCCTATATTTACTCACTGTCTGTATCACTGTTGCCATTACTACAAGATGCTAGATGCTGTAACTTCAGTTGACGTAACTGGTCTTCAGAGTCTCTGGGACCTCTTGAGAAGTCTTGCAGGGCGTCATCGAATTCACTTAGAGTGAGAGTCAAATCCTCACCTAAAGACACTGTAGATACAATAAGGAAAGTGAAACGAATAAACTGTGTGAAATGCAAACATTCCAGTCAGTTTAAAATATCACTAATACATATTAATATAATGGAAGATCATATGTGTATAAATGCAATATTACAAGATGTCAGTTAAAGTTGAACATTGTAAAAATGTTACAATGGTATAATAATGAGTTTTAGCACGGAAGTAAATGTGGGTGCAAGAGGCAAACAATGAAAAACCACAGTGATGTGTTTTGCAGGTGGCAGGAAATGTTAAAGTAGCAAAAAAGCAGCAAAACCAGTACAACTTAATGCAGTGGTTTTGGTGCATAGACGTAGATGTTATCCATTTTCTCAGACAATAAAAAAAAAAAAAAAACCTAGTTAGTTCTAAGAAAACAATCTTTACATTTGGCCAAACATTCACCTCAAGTGGCTGCCAGACAGTTTCTCCTTGCAACCTGTCCTTTTTGATGGTCTTCACATTCCGTTATGGCACAGAACGCGGCAATGCACTCTTAGAGAAGCTTTGAGTTAGCATTCCTGGGATTGTCATGCAAGTGGCATAGGAATGCAATGTTTTTAACTATTAGAACCAAATCCATAAGAATACTACAGAAGAGGGAGATTATTTGCTGAGAGGAGACTGTCCTGGCACAGGAATTATTGTACATTTTATGGTATTAAAAAAATAGTAATCTAAAGCAAAAGGGAACATATTTAAAAAAAAAAAAAAAAAAAGTATAAGCTACCTCTAAATAGTGCAAACTAAATAGCAACAGATTGGGCAATAAAAAAATAAAAAGTTTGATAAACTTTCTAACACAGAGGTTTCAGCACCTAAAATTCTGATGTCATTTTACCACAGTTTAACATTTTCTTAAAATTTTTTTCCCACCAAACAGTGGTTGAAGAGTAATGTCTATTTGGTTTATAACTGACCTGAATAATCTGCTGTTTGTTCTCTGTCTTTCTTTGTGGTCACTGCGCAGATTCGCAAGGTTTGCCTTGGGAGCCGGTTTTAGACTGAGACCCTGAGCTGAGGCTTTCAGTCTATCACTGGCCGCTCACTGTGAGTAACAGCAAGTACTGTTTCTTTAAATGGGCAGTCAGTGATAGGCTGAGAGTATCAGCCTGGCTCGTTAAAGTGATACATTCTCTTGATCACTCACAGACACATATGTACTCATATGGCACGAACACAAATACATACATGTATGCAGATAATGCACGAACAACTCTCAACCTGTACCCTAACTGTTACATACATGTAAGGAAATATGGTTCTCAAGTGGGTAAGAGAGAATTAGATTTTGTATATTTGTGTTAGAATGTATCTGTAGTTATGCGAGTTTACCAATTTTTTTAAAATCCCACACCATTATTTTTCCTGATACTGTACTTAATATGAGGAACAGGGAGCTCAAGGGTCTAGGTCAGGCTTCCCCAAACTCCACATGTTGCTGAACTACAACTCCCATGATTCTCAGCCTATCTATTTCATTCATAGAATCATGGAAGTTGTAGTTCAGCAAAATCTGGAGGGCCGGAGTTTGGGGAAGGCTGGTCTAGGTCAACCAAACCCCCAAGCAGCAAATCAATGGAGGAAGGGACAAGACACACCAAATCACATGCATTTGCATGAAATAAAGAAAGTTTAAGAACGAATGTTCAATGTTTGGCTGACACAACAAGCCGAGAAAGACTACTGTGTAAGCAAAATCGTTTATCTGTGTCCCTATTGAATGCTGCTGGAAGTGATTTGGTGTGCCTGGTCCCTTCCTTTTTTGATTTGCTGGAGTATATCATGGCATATGATAAAATATGGTAGGTATATGAGAAGATAAATGGCAACAAAATTGTATGAATAGCATACAAATAGCACATATGGAATATAATTGAAACAGTCTGCATATGGGTATTTGTAAGCAGCATGATGGCATTTCTTGGAATGCACTTTCCCAAGGATGCCCCTAGAATTAGGACAGCTACACTAAGCATCTGCAGGCTGCAAAACAAATGTTAGCAAATATACAAACATTGTTGGGAAGGTACAAGTTAATGCAATGGTGTATGTGGTGTGACATAAACCAAAATATGTATCTTTTTCATCTACAGTACACAGATACAACCGCCATACATATAGTTCAAGAAAAAAAAAAGTATTAAATGACTGTCTCCATATAAAATTTAAATGAACACTCAAAGCATGTTACCCACTCAAGCACTAATTCTGTTCTCATTTCAAGATTCTCATTTTGACTACTTATAATCACAGGAAGCCAGGGCGCTTCTTGCACCATAACCACTACAATGCGCTATTTCACTACACTACTACATTCAATTAAAAAATGCTGTGGTGCCAACAGTTACAAACTATGCTTGGCAAAAGCTTCTATGGCAATAATAATTATAATTTTATAATAGTAAATGCATGCATATTGGTTATTTAGTAAGAAAATGGGTGGAGAATTTACTAATTCAAACTCTTATTAAAATAAAAATGTCTCGTCTTGATTAACAAGCCATAGTACATACTTAATGACTTAATAATAGAATTAATGTCCAGTGGAGATTATTAGAAGTAATTAAAAACATTTCTTGTAGACAATAAAATATACATAAGGTGTTATGAACTAAAGTGAGAATTATCAGTTATTCACAATGAATTCAGCTTTAATGTCAGATTGGAAAAATGATCAAAGTACGCTATGCTTTCAATTCTGCTATTTTGGTGTAAAATGTGAAACTCACTGTGAATTCCCAACAATTCTCAAGTTAGGTGAATAGCCCTGTTATTAACATAACTGAAAAAAAATTGTATTGTATAACTAAATTAAATAGCATTTTAACCCATACAGCCAAATGTATAGCCATTTTGTTTCTAATGATACTTTAATCACTTAGCTCCCTCACCCACCCAATTCTGTCTGTTTTGGGTTAGCAGCACTCTAATGTCCCAGGTCTGTTACTCTGCCATGTGACTGCTCGCACTCACTTCTAAACAAAGGTAATACAGTGAGCAGAGCTTGATGAATTAAGAAAAATATTTATTTTTCCATGTATTGTTAATTATTTTCTACTATATCCCAATAAATGAAATATAAAGAGATCTCAGTCTACGTGATTTGAGCAGGTTTGGTTAAAAATGTCACATTGTACATTGTTGTGTATATGTCCTTGATACAAAATGAATCTTTCAATAAAAAAATAAAAAACAGTTGTGAAATGCCTTACCTTTCCTGTCCATTTCTGTGTATTTTCGTCTATATATGATTCAATCTCTACATAGTCTGTGTACACTGATTCATCTTACTACTAGTGTGGTATTGCCGCTTTGTCTAGTGATTCTGAGAAGACAGACTGTGTAATAATGTAAAAAAAACTGGGCTGGACTCCGCCGTTGGGTGTGTTCTTGTGGTTTATGAATGAGGGAAGAACAATGTAGTGGAAATAACAAAACGCATCAAAGGAAACATATGTACTTTGTATTTGAACTGCATTTATTTGCTATTGTATTTTTTTTTTCTAAGGCCCATCATGGACACCAAATAACATCGTAGATACTTTTAAATAATAATTTGCATAATATATTATTATTACAAGGCCATTAATGTTTATTATGTGATAGGTATATATACAGGAGATTTCACTAAAGTCAGAGTTCTAGTATATTGGAATCCAAATGGTAGACATGGTAAAACATAGCCGACTTGGGAAAAAATGTTATGACCAACTATTTGTGCCTACGTTTCGTCATTTTGATTTTAATTCACTATAATTTGTAATGTAGCAAATAAACTTCTCATAATTTATCTAAAGTTTGAGCTAAGATTAAGCATTGAACAAAAACTAAAGTAAAGGAAACTAAATTCATAAAACAGAAATAACAAACCAGGGGCGTAATACAAGACATTTAGGATGACAGCACATGTTGGCCAGAATGTGTCCTCCGGTGACAATGATTTGTCAGGCAGCAATTCACACTGTGAGGAGAAATATGGAAGTTTCAAATCTACTCTGAAAATGTATAGAATGTGTATAGAAAATTTATAATTCCCACTAGCATGCACTAGGAAAGAACAGCTATATTGACTAAAGGGGTTGAGAATGAGGACAGAAACTGCCTGAAAGAGAAGAATGATAAAATAGGGTTCAAATGCTTGTTATGCTTGTTCTTCTTCTTTACCCCCTCTCCCTTATTTCTTCTAAATCACAGCTGCATTTTGTGGTTCCTCAGCAGCCTAGCAGATATAAGATTATTGGGATGACTGCTCTGCTCCCATGGAAGAAGACTTTGATTGTAGCAAAGAAGAAAAGGAACTGCACTCATTAATTTGAGCCCGATATGGGTGCGGTGCTACAAGACAAGAGAGGGGCTAACACAAACCCCAAACAGTTGAATTCAAGTAGAAGAGAAAGTTTCAGGCACTCCAGTGCTTAAATAGGCACATTTATTAGGAACACAGTGATTCCAGCAACATTTGGACCCAAATGGGTCTTTGACAAGCTTGACAAAGACAAATTTGGATCAAAACGTGCCTCACTGCTGTCAAATCAAGGCATTCAGCGCACAATCAACTGCATCATAAGTTCTGCACATTATCACGTTATTTCTTTTGGCCACGTTAGGTCAATATATACATGCTCAGACCCTTATTTGGCACCCACACATCCACTATTCATAATTTGGCAGTTGTTCCCACCATTGTTGGTAAAATGCCGTTTAGCCCTATTCGCTAGATTAAGGATTCGCCCGCTTTTGGCCCTACTACAGTTGCAAGAAAAAGTATGTGAACCCTTTGGAATGATATGGATTTCTGCACAAATTGGTCATAAAATGTGTTACATGGTGTGTTCAATAAAAACATGGCAACATTTCATTCTTTGTGTGTTATTAGTTTAAGCAGACTGTGATTGTCTATTGTTGTGATTTAGATGATGATCAGATCACATTTTATGACCAATTTGTGCAGAAATCCATATCATTCCAAAGGGTTCACATACTTTTTCTTGCAACTGTATGTGTTGTTCCTACTATGCATAATGCCAGGTTACATATCATTTACGCTTTTAAAGTTACAAGGTACTATTTTACCTGGTACAAATACACGGTTCACGTGATTATTCTATGTATTTTTAGGACCTGGCCTTATTTGGCCTTCAGTATATAATAATGAATAACTGCAGATGCTAGTTGTCTATCCTACATGATTCTTTAATAAAGTCTGTTATGGCTTGTTCTGTTATATTTCATAGATCCTGTAATAATTAGGTTGTTTAGGCCTTTACAGGCATTATATATGTGCTTGATTTATATGTCCAAGTGTGACTAGCAGTCATCTTAACCAGCGTAAGAGGGATATTAGTTACATCCGTTTTACAATCTATAAATATATAGACCTCTAGGTTACACTACTATTATTCTAAATTACAACCATTCTTTCAACTATTACACCTCTTTTTCAAATATTTGGTCTTCACTTAGTCTTCACATCAACTACAAATATTGGGCCCTCAATGGACCATCCTTCAGTTTCCCTAAAACAATAGTTATTCATTAAGATTACCATACACATTCAGCATTTTTCTGGCTATATCATAGAAGATTACAAAGGCTTACTGGGCTACCCTACAACACACTCCGGTCATGCCCGGCTTGCATTAGACATCTACTAGTCACTTATACCATTCATTTGGCATTGCTAATTCAAACTACCATACCTTACGTTTACTTACTTTACGTTACATCCAGCCCTCATTAGGCTTTACTTCTACCAATCACCAGACGTTACATTCTAATTTCATTCATATCTGAAACCCACCTGGTCTACCCAAACATTGGTTAATGCACACCACAACCAACTTTCACCACATCCAACTTACTCTCTCACTCTGCTTTTGGCGCCAACCACAAATGTTAAGATGGATCCTGGAGTTATGGCAGGGGTTACCTGACCTATTTAAGCTCAAGGCACCCCCGCTATGGGTTGTCATTGTGTGGTTCATCCCTCCCACCACTCCTTTTATCAAACATTACATCTTGGTGGGCCCACTTTATTTACAGGCCTACCCGAACATTGGTTTCAGCACACCACAACCAACCTTCACCACATGCATATACATATATACATATCTAAAACATATATTAATCTGTAATTTCCAAAGAGCATGTGTTATTTCTTGTTATACACCAATATCTTTCCTGATAACTGGCATGTTTAATATCTTTCATCCACTTGTCTGACAAGTCCTATACATCTTTGAGCTACATCTGTGACCTATCTTTGCCATAACTACTTAGGATGCCCATGTGTAGCTTCTGTGTTACCTACCAGTGAGACATGTCTGACGAGCCTGATACTCATGCCTGCTTTAATTTAAAAAGTGTGCCATTTTCTTATATGCATATGTATGTTTTGGATACGCTTGCTATTGTTATTGTGGCATAGCAAGCTTTATTGTTACCTCAAGCACAGCAAAAAAAAAAACAAACAATAAATAATAATTATTATTATTTGGAAAGGAGGATCATATGCCTTGGACCAATGGCGTAACTACCACGGTTGCAGGGGTCACAACGGCGACCGGGCCCTTCACTCCAGGGTGCCTGCTACCCCTGCGACCCCTGACATACCTTTAGGGATGGTGTCCTGCCAGCAGGAAGAGAGCAATGTGCTGTGCTTCTCCCCTCCTTTCGCTGTGTGTAGCGTCGCAAGCGGTGTGACAGGAAGTGATCACTGTGAGAGTCAACAGGTACAGGGGGAGAAAAATGGAGAGGAGAGGGGAGAGAGAAATTGAGGGGCTGCAAGGAGGGGGGGTGGGGGGTGGAAAGAGAAGTGTAAGGAAAAATTGAGGGGCTGCGGGGGAGAGAGAAATGGAGGGCTGCAGGGGAAGGGAAGGGGCTGAGAGACACATAGAGTGGCTTCGGGGGAGATGAGACACATGGAGTGGCTTGTGGGGGAAATGAGACATGTGGAGGGACTGGGGGGAGCAAATGAGACACTTGGGGGGGATTAGACACATGGAGGGGTAAGAGTGGAAGGGGTTGAAAAACACATGGAGGTTCCTGGGGGGAATGAGACACGTGGTGGGGATTTGGGAGGTGAGACAAATTAACGGGCTTGGGGTGAATGAGACACGTGGAGGGGCTTTTGGGGAGGGAATGATACATATGAAGAGGCTGTGGGGAGGAAATAAGACACTTGGGGGGAATGAGACATAGAAACATAGAATGTGACGGCAGATAAGAACCATTCAGCCCATCTAGTCTGCCCAATTTTCTAAATACTTTTATTAGTCCCTGGCCTTATCTTATAGTTAGGATAGCCTTATGCCTATCCCACACATGCTTAAACTCCTTTACTGTGAAAACCTCTACCACTTCAGCTGGAAGGCTATTCAATGCATCCACTACCCTCTCAGTAAAGTAATACTACCTGATATTATTTTTAAACCTATGCCCATCTAACTTAAGACTATGTCCTCTTGTTGTGGTAGTTTTTCTTCTTTTAAATATAGTCTCCTCCTTTACTGTGTTGATTCCCTTAATGTGTTTTAATGTTTCTATCATATCCTCCCTGTCTCATCTTTCCTTCAAGCTATACATGTTAAGATCCTTTAACCTTTCCTGGTAAGTTTTATCCTGCAATCCATGAACCAGTTTAGTAACCCTTCTCTGAACTCTCTCTAAAGTATCAATATCCTTCTGAAGATACGGTCTCCAGTACTGCGTACAATAGACCAAGTGAGGTCTCACCAGTGTTCTGTACAATGACTTCCCTCGTTCTGCTGCTAATATCTCTCCCTATACAACCAAGCATTCTGCTAGCATTTCCTGCTGCTCTATTACATTGTCTACCTACCTTTAAGTCATCATAAATAATTACCTCTAAATCCCTTTCCTCAGATGTTGAGGTTAGGACTCTATCAAATATTCTGTACTCTGCCCTTGGGTTTTTACATCCAAGATGCATGATCTTGCACGTATCCACATTAAATGTCAGTTGCCACAACTCTGACCATTTTTCTAGTTTATCTAAATCATTTGCCATTTGGCTTATCCCTCCTGGAAAATCAACCCTGTTACATATCTTAGTATCATCAGCAAAAATACATACCTTACCATCAAGACCGTCTGCAATATCACTAATAAAATGTTTAAAGAGAATGGGTCCAAGTACAGACACATGGAGGTACCTGGGGGGTGAGACACATATAGGGCTGGGTGGGAGGAGATACAACACCTGGGGGGAAATGAGACACATGGAGGGGCTAGGAATTAAACACATCAATGGGCTGGGTAGGGAAACAATGAGACACATCGAGGTGCTGGGGAGCAATGAGACACATTTAGGGATGG